TAAGTTTCTGCTCCTGAGTCTTTAATTTGCTCATGGTCACCTTCCCCACGCACACGTGTTGCGGAGCCAACACATGGTGCTGGTTATTCCCCTTCCGATGCCCTGCCCTGCCTCATCTCCTTGGCAGCTCTTCTTGGAGAGGACAGTCTCTCCCATAGCGTGTCCTGCACGGTGTCTCTTGCTTGGTCGCTAGACACCACGCTAACCGATGACACAATCGATTGCTTTGGAGTCTGCTCTTCAGTGTGTCCCTTTGGAAATTGTCACTGAACAAGTTTTTCTGTGAGCTTGGCTTCCAATGGGCTTGTCCTCACACCCCGCGGTGACAACAGTTTTGTTTGTGTGACCGCTTCACTGCTAGTGCTCTCCAGTCTTCATCACGTCCTTCCCTTGGGTCCTGCACACCTCGTCACCCCCCCAAAATACTGCCAGATCCTTCTGCAGTCCTCTACCTGTTTGGCTTGGCATGCAGTCTCGTGGAGCTGTGCCTGGCTAGGAGCTTCACGTGTGCTGGTTGGGATTTGGAGATCAGAGAAGGCAGATGGCTCTTGAGCTCATTCTGAAGCGTTTCCAGCAGTGTCACTCTAATTTGAGGCTTGCTCTACCCTGCTGTTGATTTTTCCTGAAGGATATATGGACTTGCCTCTTTGAGTCTTCAGTTCCTCTGTCAGATTTTGTTGAAGCTGGCTGGAGATTCAGAAGATACCAGGGCAACCTCAGGAGGTCAGACTGGGACAGGGTTATCTTTAGTCTCATTGCTGTGCGAAGCCGGGTTAACCAGAAACGAAGGCTGCAGAATGGTGGCAAAGGAAGTGCCATTTTCTCCTTGCCTGTAGGAGGGATGATACAGGGCACTGCGATTCTCAGGCTTGTTTACCCTCTCCGTGCAAGGTTTGCTAAATGCAAGTGCTGAAACTACCGGCTTGCTGGTGCGTAGCTTTGATTTAAGTTCAAGCTGAAAGCTGTTCTCTAGTGGTTGAGTTTCAGAAAGCTGATACGTGTGAGCTGTTGAATCCTTTCTGAACTTGGACTTTATCTTGGGTACAGAGAGACGAAAGAAAGTAGAATCCTGGATGTACAGGTCTTCTTTCTTTTGGGTTTTTTGGCACATGGTTCTCCTGTATTTGGCCATGGCTCTACTATTGTCCTCCAGCATGTAACAGAAAAGTCACTTTTGCAACATGAGAAACTGTGTAGAATATCTGCTAAATGTTGTGATAAACTTAACACTGGAAATATTTTTTTCTTCTTCATTTAACAGTGCTTAATGTTCTTGAGTTACGAACCGGAGGTGGGGGGAAGAATCGGAAAGGTAGACTGAGAAGAGGGAGCACTCTTCCCAGTATTCACGTATGAGAATGGTGCGTGTTGGTAGGAGACACTCCAGCATCCTCGTTTGTCTTGTGTGTGGTTCTGACCCATTGCTCACAACTGCACAGCACAGAGTATGCAAAGTGGGCTGCTGAAGGGGAGTTTGTTGCTTTGACAACCTCCTCTTGTTTGTAGGTTTAAAGGGTCCGTGTTGCGGGAAGAGTCTGCGAGACCATCAGGCAGTCAGCTTGCCTTGGCAGCTCAACATTACTGATGGGCTGCTTTAAGCAGAAATGAGCCCTGTGCTTGAAAAGAAAAAACCAAGGCGCTAGAAAAACAATTAATTTTAAAAAATGTCCGTACCCCATTCCCTGCGAAAAGTTTGTTCTTATCTTTGGCTTTCTCCTTACTTTTGGGAGGAGCTGCCGTTGTGGCTATTAGGAAGGTCTTTACTAGGAGTCAGGTTATCCAGTTATGACAACTTGATTTGAGAACATGCTTTTCATTAATAGTTTACTGCTTGCGTGTAGCCAAGGGGCATGCCTCGGCTGGATAATTGGATTTGGAAGGCTAGTGTTTGGAGCAATTGTGACACTTCTTGCTGTGAAGCCAATTTCTGCAGCGATGCAGCTGATACAACATCGGGGCAATCTGTTACAGCGCCTTTGTTCCACGGATGCCTGGCTGGTGTGAAAAATAACCACAGCAAGAGACTTTCCTCAAGAGCGTGCCTACATCAAGGAAGCAAAATCAAGACTTTGTTCTGTATCTAAAAACAATTCAAAATGTTTTGGGGAAAAACTGACAGAAGTGGAGCTCTACAAAGTCTTTACCATCTTAAACAAATTTACCATGCGCGTTCTTTTCTTGAGATCCTTTATAACATTCAGAAGGCTGTTTAGCTGCGACCTGGAACCCTTCGTTCCTCATTTCTCTTCTTATTAAATTAAAAAATGAGAAGTTGACAGTAGGATTTTTACCCTGTTTATCATGTTTACTCTCTGTAGAGTCCTTGCAGGTACATTTTGTGACACTTCAGTCTATGTTCAAATGTCTCAAGCAATCTGAGTCTTCCACACTTTTCTTTCAAAAAGGGCACAAATTGCTTCAGTACTCTTTAGTTGCTCAATTATTTTATCCTGGTTGCTGATTCTGTCAAATTCATACAGTTTCTGAATCTGATATGTCCTCAGATGTGGAAGTGCTAGGTTTAAATCACACTTTGGGTGAAATCCAGGCCCTGTACAAGTCGGTTTTAGCTTGTGGCTTCAGGAAGCCCTGAGCTTCTCAGAGGCCCTTTACATAGCAACGTTCTCGTATCTCTTCGTGGTATGCAGGTTACATGGAACTAAAACTACAATTCGAATTGAGTGCGCTAAAAGGGAATACTAAGAACAGCATATGTGGTGCAGGGGATGCTGCTGTCTCTCAATCTGCTAATGATTTCACAGAATAAATAAAGTGATAGATATTATTTTATATGGATGCAGTGTTTGGATTTTCAGTCCCGATCCACTACTCGCCGTTCTACTCGCACTTGCTCTTCCTGCCGGTTCTGTTTGTCTGGGCAGTAAGAGCTGATTTGCTGCCATGGTTGCAAGGACTGCTTTTTGTGCTTCCTGCTCTTCCCGTTGCCATCCCGTGTCGTCCCTCACTTCCCCAGCTCTTCCTGCCGTCTCTGAAGTAGTCCCTGTTCCCACACCCTCCTCGGGAGAGGGACTCCGGGCAGCGGCTGGTGTCTGGTAAGGAGCACATTGCCTTCGGTCACCTTGCATGTGTTGAGTTGTTCCCCTGGTTACTTGCTTTGCTGCATTTTCCTACACTTTGCTGTCCAGGAGTATTTCCCTCCTCCTCTTCCTACCATATACAATATGCAATGTATAGGACTGAGCTGGGCTCCATCTGCTTCTCAGGCTTAGAAGCTGCAGTTTGGTCTTCACCATGCTAAATGATCCGCAGAATGGCAAAGGGTTTCTGTAGGTGACTTCGTACCATTTTGAGGACTGGGCTCTATCCTGGAATAGTGTTGGAGGTTGCATGCTTACAGTCAGTTTGAGATGATAAAATAAAAGTGAGGGATGGATTGGCTCAGCCTTGCTCTCAGATGTTTGGGCAACGTTGTGTAGGGTCCTGACTCTTTCGTGCCATACTGGAACACAAATGTACTTTATGGAGCATCAGACACAGAACCCCAGACTGGCAGGGGCTGGCAGGGACCTCTGGAGATCATCTCATCCAACCCCCTGCCAGAGCAGGATCACCCAGAGCAGGTCACACAGGATGGTGTCCAGGCGGGTTTGGAATCTCTCCAGAGAAGGAGACTCCACAACCTCTCTGGGCAGCCTGTCCCAGTGCTCGGTCACCCTCAGGTGGAAGAAGTTTTTCCTCGTGTTGAGATGGAACTGCCTGTGTTCCAATTTGTGCCCGTTGCCCCTTGTCCTGTCGCTGGGCACCACTGAGAAGAGTCTGGCCCCATCCTCTTGACACCTGCCCTTTAGATATTTGTAAGCATCACACCAGTGAAGTGGCGGGTGCTCAAGCGCCTCCCCAGTTGGATTGTCTGTCGCAAATGGGAGATGTCCCACACAAGGACCATGAGGTCAAAGGAGAAAGAGGAGGAGTTCCTCTGACAGATCTTGGAAGAAGCAAATCCTCTGCTTTTGAGGGGTTTGGAACCCAAAGTCTCTATTTCCTCTTTGAATTTTGAGTGTGTAGAGAAGAGCACCCCCTCACTTCTGCTATACTGCTTGCTACGTATAGTTTTTCCCAGCCAGATATTAGGATTATCAGTAAAGCTGTCAAGAGAACCTTTGACATCAGCTTCATGAAGTGAATATCATGTTGGAAATTGCCTCGGGTAATTAATTAATTCTTCTGTAAATAGAAGGCTTGATATGCATCAGTGGTGCTATGGGATGTTTCTCAAGAGGGAAATAAACTCTCCAGCAGGGCCTGTAGCGGCAGCGAAGCACTCTTCGTAGGCAGGAGACTCATTATCCTTCCAGTTTAATTCTACGAGGAAACAAAAATACAATCTTCATCTTGGCAGATTATATTAGAGGGAAAGTACAGCTGTTGACGAATCCCTCGGGGACGTGCATGTCGGCCGGAGAGCGCTCAGGTGAACAACGCGTTTCTCTGGTTACAGGATAGAAACAGCACAGCCTGGCTGAGCGCCGCCATGCTCCGTCGTGCGCGGGGTCCTCAAGCGAGGAGTCGGTAGCGATGTATGGTCATGCCAGCACCGCTCTCTTCCTGCACTCGGTCCCAGGGCGCCTCTTTGCACAGGGTGTGGGAAGGAGAAGCCCAGAACATGGCGTGTTTTCTGCCTGTGGTGCACTCCAGGCACAAATAAGACTCGCTGCGGAGCTCGTCTCCCATCCGGCAAGTTGGGAGGATATCATGTGGTTTGCATATTTGCTTGCTTTTCAGCGCACGGCCAAAGTAGATATTCCCCAAACTATTTTCAAAGTAATCTTTTATAATCAGAGTTAAAATTGTTTCTCGATACACTGGTAAACGCGGTGTTTTTTCAGTGATGTTTAATTGGATTTGATTGGCACAGAGAAGTCACTTCCTTTAATATAAAACTAATATATTCATGGATTTCAGCAGTGTAGGAGGAGTACAGAAAGAAAAAAAAAATCCTGCTTTTTATTGCTAAAACCGTCTTCTCCACTGACTCTTAGGTTTGGAGGGGCACTTTGGCTCGCCTTCGCTACAAGAGAACAAAGGCCGCCCTCACGATACTCAAGTATTACCGCCACTACAAAGTGAAGGCCTACATCCATGAGGTTGCCCGACGCTTTCACAATGTGAGGCTAATGAAGGATTACGGCAAGCACGTGCAATGGCCCACTCCACCAAAAGTGCTGCGCCGATTTGAAGAGGCACTCCAGACCATTTACCATAGGTACAAAGAAAACCTCTTGTCTTTTCAGACTAACTTAGAGGAACGAACAGCTACTGCTTGTTCCGTGAAACGTGGAAAAATGACTGAAGAACATTAACTGGACATCATAGATTAAAATGTCCGTAGCTCTTGGTACCCTTGATTCTGTTTCAAAGATTTAGTCAGGATGGACATTGTATGTCCTTCCTTGGCCCATTTTTGGTTGGTCTCAAAAGAAAAGAACAGCTGCTGTTAAACAGCGGGGAGAGGACAAGAATCTCTTCGACTTTGTCAGGACTTCTAGTAAGCCAGTACTTTTCTGCAACAGAATCAGCAGTGTCCTACCGTCTACCCACATTCTATGTGCAGAAGAGGTATTTTATACCTTTATTACAACCTCCCGATATCTAAAAGCTAGTGACTTTTTCTCTGGTAAGTTGTAGACGAAGTAGTTGCGATTCCAATTTGAAAAAATGATGACTTCTGAAAGTCACTGAGCGAGAGAAATGTTGGCTGGATGGGGCCTCTAGAGATCTCCAGTCCAGCCATCTGCTCGAAGGGGGGATTACCACCAGCACTAGATCAAGTCAACCTTGGTTTTTCCCCAGCTGTCTCTTGAAGCCATCCACATCCTATCAGGGTAGAGGGTCCTGCTTTCTGAATAAGCTCCATTATCATAACTACAAAATTTTAGTTGGTAAAAGACTTTTCGTAGCATTAATGCTAGAGAACTGGTGTTGCTGTTGAAGGCTGGAGTGTGGAGTAATGGGTGGGCTGCCCTGCCCTGTTTCGTGTTACAGTTGGTTAGGTTTCAACTGCAGGGCCAAAGTCAGCTATTAAAGGAGAGTGATGTTGTAAATGAGCCAAAAAATGGGCTTGCAAAACCTTTATTGCAAACAGATGTGCCAGTAGTTGACTTCTGGGTACAGAATGGGGAGTATGCCAGCCAAACTTGTTAGGAGTCAGAGATGATTTGTGACTTTAAAATGATAACTGACGTTTCCAGCTTCATGAATGCAACGGAAGGGCTTTTTCCCCTAACATTTATAGTCCAGGGCTGTTCTTGCGGTGCTGCTCTGGCAGAAGTAGTGCCTGGTACAGACTGTGGAACTGATCCAGGCTTTTTGCGGCAGGTGGAGAGCAGGAGAACTCATCCGGAGCGTCCCACCAGAAGTCCTACCTCAACTGAGGGCCAAGGTTGCTGCCATGGAGGTGCTGAAGGGTCACAGAGCTGATATTGGCCTACAAAGAGTGTGGGAGGGGAATTACATCGCACTGGTGAGTACAAGCGAAGGGATCAATCCTTCCTGGGGCTCAGGATGCTAAAAAGGTGGAAATTTGAAAAAGCGACTATTTGTTTCTTACCAAGGAGGGCTTTGACATTTCCTCTGTAAGTGGGTTTATATCATTTCAGAGTCTTTGACTTGTACTGCACTAGGAGTGATTTTTCTGAGTACTAAACCTAGCTTGAGCATCACAGGCAGCATTAAAAGATAATGAGTAATGCCATCAGGTGGCTCTTCAAATGGCCAAAGCTAGGAAAGAAGTCGATGCAAAACTAGAATTCTAGATATAATGGGAGGTAAGAAATAGCATAAAATGAAAAAGAACAAAGACATTCTCTCTAGGCAAGTTGCATTGCTTCCTTTTACTCCGTCCTTCCTTTGAGCATTTTGTTTTGTTGAGGCTTTTTTTTTTTTCTGTCAGAAAGCATATAAAACTCCAGATGCTCTGCCATTCTTCAACAAGGCAGAGGCTGGAGGAAGCCTTCGGCCGAGGTGGTGCAGCTGCAGTCCTCTCTGGCCTGCCATGACGTAATGCAATTACTTTCTTCAGTAAGCAAGAAGAGTTATGTGCCTGTCTTTGCTCTTTCAGAAACCAGATAACCCTCAGACCACGGGCTCTTTCATCCCTGTTGCCAATGAGCTGAAACGGAAAGACAAGTACATGAACGTTCTCTTCTCCTGCCACGTCCGCAAGGTAACCGGCGTCTGGGTGGGGAAACTGCTGGTGGTCGAGGTGGGATCTTGGGAAGCCAGGGGTGAGGAGGTGATGCTGGAGAGGCTTTGACAGGCGGCGGTTCAAAGCAGTCCCTCTTTGAGGAACGATGTCAGGGATTTTTTGATGGATACGTAACTCTGAACCTATTGCACCAAGGGGTGCTTGGTGTGAGGGACTTCTGTGGCCTCTTCGTGTAGGAGGCATGAGTAAATTCACTTGATTCTGTGTAACTGGTTTGGATCTGACTTTTTTCATAGCAGAACGGGGGTTTTTTCATTAAAGTGGTTGAAAGGTTTAAAAAACTAATTAGAAAAATGCACTTGCATAATTTTTTATGGATCATTGATAATGATCTAAATGATGCTGGTTTTAAATGCCCATCAGGAGAGGATATTTTGAATTTTACAAAGCCAACAGACAAAAACAATTCAATGACAAGCCAGGTCTGCTGACGTTCAAGGGTTTTTAAGAAGCTGTATATTCTTTTTATTTATAAAATGTGCTGTTGCAGTTGATCCCCACTTACCAGAAATGAAGCATGTGCATGACTGTTGTTCATGATCCTGCAAATATTATTTTTAACAGCAACAAAATGAATTTTGCAGCATAAAATCTCACTTTATAACAAAACTTCTTAGCTAGTGGTAGTGAGGTGCATTATTTATACAACAGTGATTTCTGTATATAAAAATGGAAATCTCTTTTTGCTTTCCAAGCAAAAATATTTCGGTGGACTGTTCTGCTGCTTTTTAACATGTTCTCTTTGAGAGCGTGGCTCGCTAGTTGAACGAGCAGTTTGAGTGAATATTGGTTTATATTGTTAGGATTAAAGGAGGATCGAGCAGGTCTGAATCCAAACCTCCTCTTCGCAGTCTTGCAGCAGTTTGGCTGGAATCTCTGGTGCAGACAAGGAGATACAGGAGAATTTCACCCTGGCTTGTTTCGCTCTAGGGGGAAACCTAAAGAATTCCTCTTCTAATTCATTTAAGGAACCAGTTCCAAATCGTTGCTGTTTCTAGCTAAACTGGAATAATTGTAAAAATACAACATTCTGTTCTTAAAGATGTGATTATAGGAATTGTTGTTTTGAATGGGAATGGAATGATGGTGAGAAGAATTACTCAGGGTGTGGGGAGGCGTGTAACGTATGTGTACCTGGTGTGGGAGTTTAATTTTGCCCGCTGTAATGCCGCTTTCAAGCTTTTAAGTCCTTATGTTTCTCCTGCTTGCTCCTGCTTCAGCGTTGAAGGACAATCTCCTGTGCAAGCACAGGGGAAAGCAGATTTCTGGAGCAGAAACCCATGCCTTGTCCTGTTCAGTAACTGCAAGCGCAGAGCTCCTGCCTTTAGGCAAGTGTCCGAGCAGTTCTTGTTTATGGTGTATGAAGAAATCCTTAAGTATACGAACAGGACTTGTTTCTATACATCCCATTACTGTGTTTACTCGCTGGAAAAATCCATTTTCTGCTGGGGTTCATTGCATTGGTGTCCTAGCACTTCAATAATAAAAGCAGTCTGGAGATGGAATAGGCGTTGCCTATCGTAAACTGGATTTCTTCCTGAGCCTGAAAGGTTACTTTCAGTGTTTTCAGAGGTGAAGAAAGCTTTAGCTTACCAAGGGTGCTTTAAAAAAATGTAGCTCAGCTGGAATCAGAAAATACTACGGAGAGTGCGAGGTTACAGACTTTCAGTCTTGTGGTTTTTAAATTATCTTGTAACTTTTTTGATCTTTTTAAAGGTTAAATCATTGGTCGCTTTCTTCTGTCAGAGAGGTCAGGTTTAATCCTCCGCTTAGTTAGGGCTACCTTTGCAGCATCGGCAGCGGAAGCACACGCGTGAGCAGGCGCAGCGACGGCGGGGCTAAGGGAGACAAGCTGAGCTGCGGCCGCCGACAGAGAAACGCGCGCGAAGCCACGGGCGATGGGCCAGCTGCCACCGGGGAGCTGCCACTTGTCCGCAGTCCGGCTGTGCCCGAGTCCCTGAGGTCGTTAATCCTTCTGCTGGTCTTCAGTCTTAAGGATCTGTGTTAGACAGAAAAGATAGAGCTAAAGTCAGTGAAAATGCAGCTCTCCTCTAGGAAAATGATGGTCTTAAAGAAGCAAATAGGAGCACCGCTCCTCTCACAAATGGATAAAATCATTTCAACGTTGCTGTTGAGGACAAGACTGCAACTTTGTAGGATCGTTAGGGACGTGTGTAAGCCTGGTGATTTCAGTACAACTCCGTGTTTAAACTCAAAAGTAAATGATCCCTTTCGAATCCATACTTGGATGTAATATCTTTTTGAGTGAACCATTTATCTTCCTTCTTGTATGGACAAGAAATGTCCAGGCAAGCCTGAAGTGAGCAAAGGAGAGAAGACAAACAATCCTGAACTTTGAAAGTTAACAAGGCAAAGATTTGACATTTCAGCATTTACCATTTTACTTTCTGACCAATGCACTTCTTTAGGTAATCTATTATGCCTTAAATTTGAACATTGGATTTGCAGACTAAGCAACAGTGAAAACTGTCGTAGAGCCTGTAAGCAACTCCGTGCTTTGACTGCAAGAACACGGTCTTTACCCTGAAAACAGCATTAGCCTTCTTTTACTCTTCACATAAACCAATTTCTATCCTAAGCTGTCTTTTTAAAACGAAGGTATTTCTTTTGTCAAAAATACAAGCTGTAGTATTCTGCCTCTTACTCAAAAAAGTAACAGCAGTCTGAAGATCAGCTTTCAGTGCTGTGAGCTGGGGGGAATTTCTTCTGATGCTACCTTCTTCCCTTTTCTTTAAAAAAACCCCCACCTAAATAATTTTTTTTTTTTTTCCTTTTAGCCTTATCCTTCTTTAACCTCCCCGTGTCATACCAAATGTGGCGCTTGGCGTTAGCGGTGCAGACTGCCTGGGTGCTCAGGGCATTTGAAAGGGCGTGACTTTCACTGCAGGGAGGTTTGTCGAATTTCTTAACGCCAAACCTGGTTTGTTGTGGATTTGCAAATCGGCTCTTCCTGTTTGTTTCTCAGCTGAAATTTGGTTCGTGCGAAGCTTTAGCAGGGGACTGAAGAGTGAGTTATAGAAATGAAAAGGTAATTAATTATCAAGTGATTTCATTGCTTCCCTTAATGCTCTTCAACAAAGCATCGGTCCACAGAATAAGGTTGTTCGAGTTTGTTCGTGGTATATTTTCATGATTCAGCTTATTTGATGATTCTCGAGCCAAAGACGTGCTGTTACTGCTGGTCCCTTAGGCGGGACGGGGTTACTGGTAACAGGAGAGCGCTTTGGTGAGTTCAGGTGAATGTTTTGCTTCGGGAGCAGCACCGGGCTTTTGGTAAGGTCCCGAATCCTCACACCACGTGTGAAGTAGTTCTTGGCTGTCAGCAGCAATGGTAGGTGTCTGCTCTTTAAAATTTCCAGATAATTGCAGTCTAATACATGTCTGTCTTTGAAAAGAAAAGACATTAAAATGTTCAGTACTGGGAAATTTAAATAGACAGAAGTTAAGCCTAGAGTTCATATATTTAAACATGTTTATGTGTAGAATATATCTTATGCAAGATATTTGTTAACCATGAAGTTCTTTGCAACAGATTTTTTTTTTATTTTAGCTGATGATTGACATTGTTCCAATGAAGTCAAGGAAGTAATACCAACTCTCGCCAGCCAGGGAACTGCTCTTGAAGTATTGATGACTGCTGGTGAAGTTTTCTTTAGCTTAAGTGCGTGGGATCTTAATTTCAACAGCTTGAGATGAATAATAACGGGTGAATTTGTTTGGACCGAAGCTTATATAGCTCTTTTTATAGAAGGTCTGTGAAGTCTTTGAAGTCTCGCTGATGGGAGGTGCATGTGCTCACTTTCTCACAGTAGGTATAGGTAGAAGCAGGTCATTTCTGCCTATGGAAAAATACATCTTTTCTGAGCATTGTGGTGCTCTTCTTTTTTTTTTTTTTTTTTTTTTTTTTTTTCAAAGCAAATTTTCAAGTCTTTTGCCTTGGGAAACCAAATGCATATTTCATGCATACCACCAGATTTTGTTGCATCACCTAGGAAACAACAGTTTCTTTTTATTCTTTTTTTTTTTTTTTTTAAGAATAAGGCTTTTCTTCCCACTTTCTCCCTTGTCATTTACAGCACCAAGCTTCCTTGAGAAGACTGTCTCTTCCAAAGCTCAGTGCCCCGCGGTGTCTGCAGCCCCGGGCAGAGACCTGAAAAGCTCATTTGGAGGTTTTTCCGCTATAGGCTAGACTTTAATTTTTCCCCATAAGCTAGCCAGGAAGCTAAATTAAGCCTGATTCACATTTGCATCAACAAAGATATAAATAAAAACTGCCCAGAAGGTGCAGGGAACACAATGCTGGGAAGGGCTGTTCTCCGGGAGGGTATAAGCTGTATCTGAGAACATAAGGCCTGTCTTTACTCCTACAAAAATCAGAAGAATAGTGGCATTTGCAACGGTGCTGGCATTTGTCTGAACCTCTTCTCTGCGTGCTTCCCAATGTGACAGTTTATTTCTAAAAGCACAGCGTGTATTATTTACATAAATATGCCAGAGATGCATGAGACACCTGAAGCAAAGCGATTGCTTGGGAAGAGCTGAAAAGGACCCAAGTTCCAGGGCAGCCAGAAATTGCTTCTCAGGTGAGATAAGCTGCTGAACTTCCCCTTCTGTACATCTCTTCAGGGGTTCAGCTGTATTTATTGTTCAGTGTGAACACTAAAACCAGTGGGTAACTGCAAGAAAGAAGCAGAATTTAAAACATGCTTGTAGAATAACTGCGATATTATATTGTCTTGCAAAAGCTGGGCGTGCTTCCCGTCCCTCCTTTCTGGGCAGCAGCCACAGGACCTTCTGCGCTGGGGTGGCTCTGGCTGCACCGCTCGGTGAGGTCTGCTCCCTTTGTCACCCTGGGCTCCGTGCTGGAGGTGGCCATGGGCAGCAGGGAGGATGTTGTGATGGGAGCAACCAACAGGATCATGGCAACGAACAGGTAGTGGTGTCAGATTCTTTAAAAAAAATTAAATTAAAGAGACGTGTCTGGGGACCCGTGGCGACACAGCATCAGATCGGAGGGCTGTGTGGAACCGGTCACAGCCTAACAGACTGGAGAAGCCTTCGCTTAAACTCCCAGGACATGGAGCGTGGGGTGCGGTAAGCTGCACAGCCAAATTACGGTTTGAGGAGCCTGTGCTACTCTGCTCCAACAACTCAACACGTAGCACCAGACACTCCTAACCTACTTCCTCTGGGCCATTCAGTGTTTCATAGCCTTTTTTTTTTTTTCCTCCCATTCATCTGCTTCCTAAAATAATCCCAGTAATTCAGCATCTCTTCCTGTGAGATTTTCCAGGCCCTCAATCACTTTCTTTCCCTTCTCTGAGCCCTTAGAGTCTCCTTCGCGTTCCCTGGTCCGTGCTTCGCTCGCCGTTCCAAGTGAGACCGTGGCACCCAGGACATCATTCCCCGCGCTGGTCTTTACCTCACGCTAACGCCTCGCTTGCTTTCAGCTCCTCGCGTGTTTGTGCCAAGATCTATCCAGAGCTGCCTAAGATCATCTTCAGTTCCTTTTTTCTGAGTCGATGCCGTTAACTCAGAGCTGTCGCGTCGCTCTCCAGTTTGCATTTTTTTGCCTGTATCTGCTCTGAACTTCGCCACTCTGCTGCCTGATGACTGCGAATATTTAAGTTCTCCAGTTGTCTCCTGCCTTCACATGGGAAAATCCTATTTATGTTCATACGCCTCATCATGTCTCACCCTTGTCTACCCTTCTCAGTTGATTAATAAATATCTCTGTGACCGTGATACTCTGATGACTCCGGTTTTGCCTCAGTGAAAAATACTTTGTGTTCTACTTTCTCACTTGCTTCTCACAAAACTTTGCATCTCGTGACTATTTAGTACCCAGCTTCTTGGGGCATCTGGAAGTCTAGATGGCATCAAACGTTCTCCTTTGGTGTAGTGTTTCCTGGACAAATTAATTGTAAAGTTAGAGAGACACGTGTTTCCTCTGTGAAAACCCCGCTCGCTAGAGCCTAACATTACCGGCAGCCTGCAAGAATATTTGTGATGAGTTGCGGTGGGATGAGGGGAGTTTAAGTGATCTGTGTTTAGAAAGGAGGTATGAATAAAGCCCTGATCCCAGGGTATAAAACACTTCTCTGGAGAGATTGTCATTTTGTTTCCTGCCGTAACATGATTCTCCCGCTTCTGGTTTTGGAAACAATCGCTTTAATTCCGTAAGGTGTGGAATAGCGGTTTGTTAGCTTCAGTCTTCCTGAATCTTTCCCAGCTCAGATGTTACTGTGAAGGTACAATGTTTAGTATCTTGTATCCTTTGAGTGAGTACATTCGGAATAAATGGTTGCATATTTTTACAGTAATTTTCCAGAGGTGTTTATGTGGCATTTGACGGCAGTTTTGGTGATTTCATTTGTCAAGTACTGGAAGGATGCTGCTTCCGGAGATCTCTTTGGTGGCCAAAAATAGACATGGATTCAGAATGCCAGAATACCTAGAATTAAGAGAACTCATATAATTATATGACCACGGTACACGGCTCGCTGCTGGGCCATGTCCGTTCCTTTGCATCATTGGCTGGTGCTTAAATAACCTGTTCTCCCTTTGCTCTTAGGACACAGAAGCTGGATGCATGAGCTGGAGCAAAATGCTGGGATGGGGGGCTGTGTGCTTGACTTGCTAAGGGGTTCACATATTGCTGTCTTCCAACAGTTAATTTTTTACCTTTTCAGAACTGATACGTATAATCAAAATAAAAAATAAATCATTTTAGGGTTGATCCACACACGAAACCAAGATGGAGCTTATTTTCCCCATACACCGAGTGCCTGGTTATGCCAACAGTATCCCAGGTGGATGGTGTTTTGAGTTCAATTTAAAGTGACCCAGCTTCTTGAGGATGCCTACAGTTATTCCGTGAGGGCTGGGACATGCATAACAGATAATCTCTGCTGCTGTTGGCTGCCGGTGAGATCACAGGTGATAATATAGTGGTTTACCTCAGCAGGCAACTAATGGTTCTCCACTGAATTATAGCGTGTATCTATAATTGGTCTTAAATTTACAGCTGTAGAGCCCAGTGGCAACATTAAGATATTAAGATATTAATGTTTCCCAGTGGCGACACTAAACTCTGTTTGCTGAACTACTCGAAACTATCAGAATACTTGAGATACCGTGAAGTCTGCGTTCTTGGTAGCATATGGGCTGGTGAAATACAGAATGATTTAGGGGGAAAGGGACCTCTGGAGGTCTGTGGTCCAACCTCCTGCTCTGAGCCAGGCCAACTTCAGAGTTAGATGAGGTTGCTCAGCCTCTGTCAGCTGAGTTTGGAAAACCCCCGAGGATGAAGGTTACGTGGCGTCTCCGAGCCCTGTCCCAGGGCTGCCACCCTCCTGGGGAGACTTTGTTCCCATATGTCCCGTTGGACTTTCTGCTGCTGCGTCTTCTGTCCGTTGCCTCTTCTCCTTTTGCTGTACTTCTCTGAGAAGCTTAGCTCCACCTCCCCTGTACCCCGCCTTTGTCAGAGGGTACGGTCATTTGAGGGTTAAAACACCTTTGCCTCTGTTTGGAAGCCGGTATTAAAGTTAGTTGCAGTGCACTATGATTTTCTTAGTAGTAAGTGTCTTAGGGGAGTGGAGTGGGAGTCAGGAGACCGGAGTCCAGATTCAAAATAACCTGAGAACGGTACGAGTATTTAACAAAACCCAGATCTCACTCATGGTCAGTCAACCAAAGAGGTGTACCAATGCCTCTGGGTGCTTTCTCATTTGGCGTAGATGCTTGCCGGATGCTGTAGCTCTGCTCTCCGTGTTCCTGGAATAGCCCCAGACAGCATAGCTGGGCAGCAAACTCCTCTTTAAAGAATTTCTTTTGAGGACCTTGAGCTCACCGGTGATCCTGCGACCTCCTTGCCCTGAATACCATGTCCTTAACAGAACGCACAGTCGAGTGAAAATGAGTTGAGCGATGTCCACCTCTGTAGAAGGATCTGCTGCTCGCAGTACAGGTCTGGGACAGCTGAACTGATCTCACAGCTTGCTGCTGCCGAACGGAGCCGTCCTGTTTTCTTCTGTTTATCGTTTCCCAGAGCCTCATCCTCTTTCCCTTGCGATGGCTCTGATGCTCGTTGGGCGTGTTTTTGTCAGGTTAGTGACTTGATAGGGACGAGGAGCCCCAGAGCGAGCTGGAAGGGGCATCAGGATGTTGTTCTCGATGGCAGTGAGTCTTTAGACGAGACTGGTTGTGCTCTCGCTCTGCCTCCCTCGCTTAGGGAGAGCGTTGTGTTCAATACCCCTTGCAGCCTGAGGGCTCTCCAGCTTGGCTCTTTCTTCAGCTTGCCAAGAGATGACCTTGCCCCCCTCCCACCAGCTGGTTGCCTGGGGCCCTGCGTACGGGTTTGGCTCTCCCGGGCTCCTTCGCTCCCGTTCGGTCTCTTCTTCCGTCTTGCAGCATGGCACAACTTCAGCAAAACCAGCGGAGCGTGCCCATGCTCGCCTAATGCATCCGCTAACGGGCAGGGGAAGGAATGTTGTCCACATTTTCCGCTTCTTGGGCAAGTTGTTCAGCTACGTTGAAGGCACAGGTGTTTTAAAAGAGGAAAATTGTGTTCTCAAATGCCTCGGGTCTGGACCGTCGCAGAGCCTGGTGGCACCCCGTTTGGCTCTGCGGGGCAGGTATTCCGCATCGTGTTTTTAGGGCAACAAAGGCACGCGTATACCGTAGGAACGACAGCCATCTGCCTCGGGCTTGGTGTCCACCAGTGGACAGGGATGCAGGTTGAACGTTGCTGGAGGGGGGGAAGCATCTGTCCTGTGTTTGACTGAGGCCGTGGACTTTCCCAGGTAGCCCCAGCCCCGCTGGGAATGTTGCTTCGCCCAGACTCTGCGTTTCTCTGTCTGTAAACTGGGATTACGGGCCCCATCTTCCCTTTTCACTGTTTCAAGATCTGTGGAGAAAACCTGTTTAAGAGCTGTGTAACTTTTGCGCCTTTACTGCTGCAAAGTTTTATTCTGCGTGTTCTTGTAGTGATTAGTCAGACTGAAAATTTGCTTTTTTTACAGGTCAATCGCTTTAATAAAGTAGAGGACAGAGCAATCTTCATTACTGATCGACACCTTTATAAGATGGACCCGATGAAGCAGTACAAAGTGATGAAGACCATCCCCCTGTATAATGTAAGTACGAGGGTTGGGGAATGTCATCTCGGGCTCTCTTAGTCGTGGGCGGTGCATCTACTGGTTAGCTCCATTTTCATATCCATAACATGGAAAAAAAACTTGGTTTACTTTTCTTAATACATTTAACGTCTTTAAAAGGGTTATAGTGGAATTATCTATGACACTGATGCAGCATGTTAGCTTTTAATTACAGTGCATAAAAAAAAGCTAAAATCCAAACTGCTTATCACACTCCCTTCTGCTCATTCTTCTATTTTGTTTTTTATTTGCTGTGTGCTGCAAGATCCCAGCCCCGTAAGGAGGTTAGCATTTCACAGCATCTTCTGACACAATTTCTGTGTCTCTGGAGGTTTGTTTGATCCTTTGTGTTGTGTTCGGATTTTTTTAATATTTTTTTTATATTTGTTCATGTTTAATGTAAATCTTATCAAAGCTAAATTCAGAATTATAGTGAGGTATCTGGCCTTCGGGGGAGCAGAATTGAGCTGCGAGTGACAAAGCGGCAGATTATCACTGGTAGGAGGGGGATGGGGGAAAACCTCCTCTTAGCTCTTCAGCATCCTGGAGCGTGGATTCAACTCCTTGTTTGTTTTCCTCAGCCTCAGGTAACACTACTACAGTTATCTTAACCCTACAGAACCTGGCTGGGCTGCTTGGAAACGTCATACACAAATTTGTTGGGAAGTTTGCGTTTGGAGAAATAATAAATCTGGCGTCCTCGTATTGCTAAAAGAGCAGAGATGGGATTAGGGTAACGGTGAAATCTAATCCGCAAGCGTGGAGTGAACGATTAGCTCAGGCTCCATCCTTAGTGTTGGTTTCATAGGTCCTCTGATAACCTCCTCGCTGGTCATCCACCAAAACTGTGCTCCGACCGCAGCGTGTGCGGAGTAACGTGCTCGTACCCTAATAAGAGTATTTGCTGTAGCAAAGCAATGTCTCCATGGCGGTGTGTCTTGTTTTGAAAAGACGTTACTGCCAGGGAGTTAGCAGCTGCAGGTCGCTTTCCTCAGTTGATGTGCTGCTGGACTGACGTTATCTCTTAGTTGTGCAAAATGAAATTGTCAGCAGATTACGCTGCTGCATGGCTGACTCTTGCTTGTGCAAACCAACTTGTTCAAATACACAGAGCAGAGTGTTTTTCCTAGAGGGCTGGGGTTTTTGTGAAGTGTCGAGGTGAACTCAGGTGGACAAGGTGGAATTTTGTCCGTCACAATGTCTCCCTATTAGTTTTCTGCACTCTTACCTTATACAAAACAGCTAGGCCACTGCAATTCACTTACTATGTTAGTAATGATAAGTAAATCTGTATTTATCACAGCTTTAGCAAAATATCTGCTTTACCTGTGTGCCTGATGGGTTTACAGGTAGAGCTTGCACATTTACGTATCACCGTGAGACCAGGTCACTGTTGGTACGCTGAACGTTTTCCTCTGAAATCCTTAATGCCTTAAAAATTAAAGGAGGTGAGCAAGTCAGACACAAATGTTAGTAGTTATTGGGTTGTTTGGGTTTTTTTTTTCACAAAACACGGATGTCTAACATAGAGCATCCATTCCTAGAGTGCTGTAGCGCAGGCTGTATGTCGGCTGTCTGCTTTGCATTGCCTGTGGCAGCAAAGCAGGTAATGCTCCGTGCATATAGGTCTCTTGCTCTAAGAATACTTACATTTCCGTAGATATAAATCAGCTTTATTTATAGATCTGCAATTATTCCCTCTAGCAACCTACCGCAAGGCGTCTTGACTGGACAGTTTCCTTGACCTGAGCAACTGTGAAGCAGCCCTGGAGTACTTGGCCCAGGAGGGATGGGTCTAAAACACCCTTCACTGACTCCTACAGGTGTCAGAATAATATTCCCGAGTGGAGATGCTTTGGAAGTATCTTTGGTGAATGCTGCAGTGATAAATTTCTGCTCTGTTGGCCACAGCCTCTCCTCCTACCTGCTTCTCCTGCGCTGTGGTCCTGGGGAGCAGTAGGAAACCTGCACGTACGCACCGGGATTGCGTCGCGGTGCCAGGGAGTGCTGGCTGGTCCTGGTGGTTCACTGCTGACCCCTCACTGCGCCGCAGGGAGAGAATTCGGAAATGCATTTGGTTCCTACAGAGTACATGAAACGTTTGTGTTTCTTTGGCCAGGATTTCTTAAATTGAGCTCTGGCAAAGGGTTAATGCTATAATGCAGTTACTTTTTCCTTTTTTGTAGTTGCTTCATTATTTGAATATGCATTGTCTTTCATCTCTTGAGCTGTCTTGCACACACTCTCTCTCATTTTTCTGCATGCCCCATCCCTTCTTGTGTGGCAACCCTTTTACAGTGTACGGGGAGGTGGCGGAATAGGCAATTAGTGATACAGAGATTCCTTCCCTTTCGAGGAAAGAGCAACTGTTTGAACTGATACGGAGATTTTTGAGAAGCAAACGGATAATAATTACACCAGCCGCGATGTATATCGGTGTATCAAACACGTCCCGCTAGAAAGACGCGTGTTCACTGGAGAAGACGGATTGCCCTTCTGATGTGTAACGGTGAACCTGGCTGAAATTCGTCTGCCTGTTAGCTGTGCTGCTCGCTGTCAGCATTTCCAAAGCACTGTATCAACACGGCAACATCCTTAGGGATGGTGTTTCCATGGAAATCTCATCGGAGACAGTCAGCTGATGTCTGGTACGACCATAAACTTGTTTTCGGCTGAAGAAATCGCACTACAGTTCCCCATCTCCTTTAACTGTGTTTACATGTAAATGGTTTAAGTATAACCCTTAACGCGTGCCTGCTCGCATCCCAGGTTCTGCGTTCGGTTATTTTCTGTCCTGTGTGAGGAGTCTGAAATTTTGTGCAAATGATGACAAAGCAATAACTTTCCTTTCAACCCTGACTGCTTCGCTGGATTGAAATGATACTTTGGGGGATTTTTCTGTGTGCAAGCGTTCTGGCAGTTGCCTCAGAAGTACCAATATACAATTATCTTTTTGTTCTCACCTGGAGAGAAAATAAACAGATAATAACAGAAAGGAATTAAAAGGCGACTGAGCAGCAGAAAGGATCTTGCAACTACCTTTCCCAGTACAGTGGTGAATACAATAAAGGATGTTCTGGGGATGCTGAGAATTTTTTCCTGATCTTCGAGCAGAGCTAATAACAGTGTTTGTAAATACCGAGATAAGCACCTTCTCTGAAATTATTTCTTTTGTGTTATATTTATTTGTTCAGATAGTCTTATGGGGAGGGGTGAAATAGGAAAATTTTGAAGGGCTCTTGGACTTCTAACAAGGTTCTGTTGAATAATTAATGTTTAAATAGGCTTTTCAAATCCAGAGATTTCAACTTGTTCATCTTTCACACTCGGTGCACATTTAAAACCTCGATGGCAGCACTCCCTGTGGTGCTATTGTGCTCACAGGATGTTATTTAAGCATGCAAATTAATTTTAAGGGACACTATAAACCCAGGCAGCTGTTAATGCCTGTGCATGAAGTGTAGCTTGTTTTTAAAGTATTTCATAACCTCAGAATAACGCGAATGGCAGAGAATAAACGCCACCTGTGTTGGGTATATGCAACCAGTAGCAGGAGGTCTCTGCTGAGTATTTAAAATATCGGCAAGCGTAGTAGCGCCAACAGACTGTTGCACCGTGATAATAAGCCAACAAGATGTGAGTGATTCTAAACTCCTCCAGTGGTTTATCCAGAAAACAAGGCGTGCACCGCACTGCTGGGTGTTGGTTGCGGCGTGCTTTTCTGGGATGCTGCTGCTGTCTGGTGTGTGTCAGACATCCAGAGCTGGAACGGGTTTCTTGGAGATAATACGGTGCAACTGCTAAACCGAACCTACAGATCCAGACTGTTTCTGAATACGATTCGTGCTTCTGAAAGGAGCGTGTAGTCTCCAGCTCGATTTGTGCTAATATCCTCTCCAACACAGGCAGTGCGGTTACGCAGGCGGCTTTTCTTCTTTACAAAGGGAATAATGAGACTTTCATTTCATAAAATGGCATATTGGTGCCTCTCACTTTCAGGAGAACGTGGCTCCTCTCTGCAGATCTCTGGATGACCCAAAGGAGTCGTGTCATCCTTTGGTGGACAGGGAAGGTCTGCTCTATTCTCTCTGTACTCATTGTTCTTTTGCCTTTATCTCTCTTTCTTTTTTTTTTTTAATTTTATTTTTTTAGCACTGATTTGTTAAATGTACTTGCCTCTTGATGTTTCTTTTGCTATCTTCATATTTTGTTTCCCTAGCACAGATTCATTTTTTGCTTTTTCTAATAGTCGTCTGAATAGCCTGTGTACCCAGATCGCCACTCCGTAAAATTTCCTGCTTTTTGCTTTGTGAGATGAGGACAAAGCTTTGAATGTGCCAAGTAGCAGTTACTTAACAGACACAAAAAAAAACCCCAACAAAAAAACACCCAACCAAAAAAGCAAAAGCCCAAACCAAAACCCCAAACCTTTTTATTTTGTTGGAACAGCAAGACCTTCATCCATGCCTGAATACTGGAATCATCACGGCTTTGCGGGGTTTTCAACTTATATTCTTCATCAAGACATTTAAGCTTTCAGGAAATTTCATTCTTACATCATCTGCGTACCGTTGCGTTCCTAGCGCTGCGTGTGTGAGTTTGAAGATGGTTGTTGGTCAGACTCATGATTATCGTTGGATTCCATTGAAAAGAAATAAAAGCAGGCTTGTGGCTCGGCCATTGAGCAATGTGGTGTCATCTAGTGCGAGATTTTGGGGAAAGCAAGTTTCCGCTGTTAGAAATAGAGCTGGTGCCCTCTTTGGTGGGCGACCTGTGGTGCTGGGTGGGCAGAAGGGCACTGCGGGAACGCGGGGCCGTGCTGCTTCTGGCAAGAGTTGCTCAGGGTGAACCCTGTCTAGAAGGTAAAATTTCCTTGTACCTTTGAGACTGTTGACTTCCAACAAACTCCTGTTGTTTCACCTTGACTTTTTCGGCTTGTGGGAGGAGTACGGAGGACCTGCCCACTGCAGTTGCCCAGAGCTCTCTGGTAGAGGTCAAAGTTGAGAGCAAGCCCGGCACCCTGGAGAGGAAGGAACTAGCCCGGCAATTAGCCAAGATCTATCAACCTATATAACATTGTTCTTGCTTTCTCTTCACAGTTGATAGGGTTGAGTGTCTCCAATGGAAAGGACCAGCTCGTGGTCTTCCACACGAAGGACAACAAGGATCTCATTGTCTGTCTCTTCAGTAAAGAGCCCTCTAACGACAGCAGGATCGGCGAGCTGGTGGGAGTCCTGGCAAGCCACTTCAAGAGGTCAGTGTTGGGGCTGGATTTTGTGGCAAACTCAAGTCTAGCGTGCCAAATCAGAAACTTCCCCTGAAGTCGTTGCGATGCCAATCTTGAGCTTTATCTCTGTTATTTCACTGTATTAACTAGGATACCAGAGCGACGTTTTTTCCTTGCGTTTTTGGGACGTGCGTTTTACCTACAACACTTTGCTTGCCCCTTCTGCCTTCCCCGTCTGTGTGTGTGAGAGCATGGGCGTCTGGGGACAAATATCACTGAAGATGCATTTTGAGTGTGTTACGACGTCTCCTGAATACTTCTTACGCTCAAACTCTTAACATGTAAAATTAAGATATAGCTGTTCCTTTCCCAAATTGCTCCCCCTGCCCCCAGTATCAGCAGATGATTTATTGCTTGAGCTGTAAAATGTCATCCCTGTTTCCTGAAAATTCTCTCTCTTGTAAATCAACGTGCAGAAGCTGTTTTGTTGGTGAACTGAAACACATAAGAGGTTATCCGCATTGAGCTTCTTGTAGCTACAGCTGAACTAGCAATAATCACCTTTATACCAGAGAGCGAGTTGGGGACTGTCCAGACAAGCATCACCGCAGTGACTGCACCGCAGGCAATCACCTAAAAGTAACTCTGTAGAGAAAGGGTGTGTGGAGCAAACACACCTTCAGAGTTGGTCCCTTGCGCCTCCGGAACAGATTCTCATGAGGACTGATGTTGATCACCGTCACGGGCCACGTTGGCTTTTTCACGATATCATGCTCTGTTTATGACATGTATTCCTAGAGCTACAGGTGGCAGGACAGCGGGAGTGAATTTAGGTTACGTTGGGTCATTTTTTTTCATTAATTCAAGAAAAAGCATGTCGATTTGGCCACTTCTCACTGCTACAGTGTAAAGTTTGCTGCTGTCTGTGCTACTGGAGGTAGGTGCTAAGCTCATTTGAAATGAATACTCAGCATCGGCATCACTTGTTTGGAGAAATTCAGTGCTGAAGAGCAGCTGAAAACATTCGCTGGTTTTGCATTTACCTAAATGTAGTTTAATTTCAAAGCTAGCTACTCTGGAAGGCTCAGGAGATTCTGGGCACACTTCACTTCGGGGAATCTTGTGAAGTAGCTGGAGTTTTTCATGTCTGGCGTGTTTTGAACACAGGTAACGTCATCTTCAGATAGCTGCTGCTCCTTAGTTGCCCTAATGAGCCTCTAATGTTGGGAAGAGCTGTGAAACTTGATTACACTCCAGATCCTGTACGTTCAGGGTTCAGACTGTCCTGGTTTGCTGTTCCTTTTGCTCGGACGTTCCTACGAAGTACCCGGCCTTTTGGTCGCGTAGCTAGTGTAGCTCAGTGGGAGGCACGTGTGCTTCGTTTTAAGAAAGTAAAATTGGTTACGTGGCCATCAGTCTAAAATGTTGTGCCTTTATATGAGGGTATAAGCTATTGATTTGCAATTTCTTATACTGATTTAGCAAGGCATTTTTGTCTTTAATAAGAATCAGTTTTTATCTAATCACTCTCTGTAGGAGAATGGTAGTTAAATACAATTATATGCTGTTAAATCTTCACTTAAAACAATATTAGCATTTTTTCACTGCTTATTTTTTTCACTGCTTTTCAGATGACATATCTAAGCACAGCTGGTTAAATGGGAGAGCTGGTCTAAAAGCCTGTTTTTCTCCAACATCTAATAAAAGTTACTGGTTTAACAGTAATGTACAGGAACAGCTCACGTTTACTTTTCCAAATATCCAAATGTCATGGTTTCCGTCGTCAAAGCAATATCTGTAAATCAAAATCAAAGGAAAGATTCTTGTTTTCAGCCACTTTCCATTTTCTAAGAGTTAAAAAATCCTGTCGGCGAATGGGATTAGCTGACCCCTTGCTTGAGAGGCGCTTTGGGAATTCCTCATTAAACAGGATTAGCTGAAAGTCACCGTGTGCCTCATGGCAAGTGTCAGTTTTCTCTGTCCTGCCTGTCAGAAGGTGGTTGCTGTGAAGAAAAAGTGGACCCAACAATAAAATCTTGAGCCTGAAAGTTCAGTCGCTGGGGACCTCGGAGCTCTGCTGCCCCCGGGACGTGGGGAGCAGCTTCCCTGGGCTTCAGGGGGTGACGGTGGCATTTAACATCCTCTCTGAACATACAAAGCAACTTCCAGCCATCTCAAAGCCAGTCCTAAACCCTCTCTTATGAGGTTTTAGCAAGGATAAGGTTGCACAGCTGCCCTTGGCAAATACCCGTGTAATAAAATCATGTCAAATTCTATGTCGCTCTGTATCAGTGTGTAGGAGAGAGGAGGAGGCTGGTGGTGACGTCTATGCTGAGGATACCCAAAGCTTCTAATTCAGATGCTTTCCTTCAGTTTTTATTACTTTTTTCCAAACTCTTTGGGAATTTCAATGCTGGCACATCTTGCATTGGGAATTTTCGAACTTTTCAGCAAGAAATACTTTAGATGCTTTCAGAAAAAGTTTGGAGGTAATGTCTTTAGATGCTGTGCCCTGGCAGCTGCTTTTGGAGGAGTTACACTGGTCTGTTCTTAGGCATAAAGCTTTCCAATTTGGGAACATACTGCGTGAGTTCACATCTTTTCCCTTTGCCCATGAAAATCTATCTGAAAATACATCTTTTTAAAATTATTACTAGTAGGAGTTTTGTTACTTTCAGGTTGTGGTCACAAATCGGTATATGTATAGCATAAAACTAACATGATGCTTTGATGAGCTCTAAAATTCTGGAGTAGTGACTCTGCTTCTTAAGACAGTGAATTGTATCTAGTCGAGTTAATGGATGTTTGAGTCATACTTCTAATTTATTGGCTAGATTATTTATTTGTTTAACAGTGCAGTTTAGGTAACTGAATTCCCAACAGAAATGATGGGAAAGCCGGCTGAGGTGCTGATGTAACGGCCACAGTAAGTTCATGCCTGCCTGCGGAACAGTGTGGAGACGTGTCCGTGAACTTGAGTTCGCCTGAGTATTTTCCTTGCTGTTCTCCGGCTGCGGCTGTCTCGGAGCCCTCGTGCCTGCCAGGTGAGAAGAGCTGTGACGAAGCAGAGTGCGTGAAATAGCTGGAAAAATCCTCTAGCAGCTCAGTGTGGTGGGCAGTCCCTCGCAGGAGCGAGCGTATGAAGTTTGCATCATGGAACTCTTCTTACGCTGCTTGGCTGGAGGAGAAGGTGCTCTGAAGTGACACGAGGGTGGCACGTTGCTCATTGTTGGTTTGCCAAAGCACTTGCTTACCGTGCGGAGGAAACAGCTCTTGGAAGCTGTAGAAGTGGCCACGGTGTTCCTTCAAGTGTTGGAGCCCGTGATGAGGAGGAAGGGACCTGAGGAGCTCTTGGAGAAGTGATGGTGGGCAAAAAGGGGAGGATTATCGGCCAGGAAGGGACTTATCCTTTCCGTCTTTTACACCCACATTGCTTCACGGTCCTTACGCCTCTAGAAGATGTCTCAACTGCTCAGTCCAACGTATTGAGGGCTCTTTCTGGAGGCATTTCAGAGCTGTACTTCACCAGAGAAGCCCTGATCGTAGCCCGGTTCCAAAGCACTAATTGCTTTTACTCTCGAGCTCCTGTGGCTCTCGCCCTGCGCGCGTCACCTCCCGTGTCCCGTCCCGCCCGCAGCGTGGAAGTGTCGTGATCTAAACGCCGCGGATGTTAAAGGCACCTCAGATGTCACCACCGAAGGTGACGGACCCGTCCTGTTTCCCAGCGCTGTGCTCCGTTCTGCGGCATGCCCTGACTTAAAGAATTCAGTTATTTTTTTTTCTCCGTGTTAAAACACACACACGGTATTTTCTGTCTGACTTACCCACGCAGTTCAGATCAATGCGTCTCAGTGGCCTGCTCTCTTCGATGCTTTCTGTTCCCCTAATCCCCACATTGTCTGCAACCGCAGTCCCTGGTTTTCTTCCAGGATTGCTGAAGGCAAGGGGGAGTTAAAAAGAACAGTAAAAAGCAATCCCTGCAGAACTCCGGCAGAAAATCACTTGCCTAAGGATAATTTTGTATTTTCCATTGCGCTTTGAGACCTGTCAGCCAATTTTAATCATTAGTGTGCACTGGATTCATTTTCTTTAGTTCTGGATTCTTAAACCGGCATGCCTTCGAGCCAGTAGCATTGGCACCGCTACGCTATTGACTGAGCAGTAATTCATAAAAACAGATCTCAAACTAATACGATGGGCTGTAGGCTCCAGGAAAGCCTGTTACCTTGTTCTTATTCCACGCAGGATTCTCTTGGGCTTGGCACGAAGGTGTCTTTGGGAAGATGACGTTCCTCGGCTTGCCCTTTCGCGTGCCTTGAGTATTGTAATTTCATTACGTTAGCCGAGGTGGTAGGAGTTTATTTGGTTGTGGAAGCGGAGAGGTTTTTATTAGTGTCGTGTGCAGGTGTATCGTGTGCGTAATACAGGAGGGTGAGTGTATACATGTAATTTATATGTACATATGTAAAAAAATGGAGAAAATATGTGTTTATACATATATTTATATATGCATATATGTAAAAATTGGAGGAAAATACATCTCTATACATATGTATGTAAAATGGGGAAAGTGTGTGTATATACTTAGATACACATATATGTAAAAAAACCTGGGAGGGCAGAAATTTGTGCCGTCAGCCTTTCAAAACGACCTGAAATAGCAACACGGTTGGTGTGAGGCGCGCAGTTTGCCCAGGCTTCCCTGTTAAGCCAGATTTGCCTGGGGAAGCGCGTCCTTCCGAAACGCACCTCCCCTGGCCTGCGGGCGGTGGCACGGGGGGGTATAGCTGGGGTTAAAGCTTTTTTCTGCTAAATACAATCAACCGACAGATCCTGGTCCAAAGAGTTCGGGGTCGGAGCCGACCGGGGAGCCTGGAAGGGGGAGCGGAGGCAACTCGCCCTTGGTACGGACATAGAAGAGACTAAAGCTGAGCTTTAGCATGTTCAGCCTAGGGGAGACCGCTCATCTGAGCCCTGCTTTAGAAAAGAAAAAAAAATAAAAGCCTTTCTTTGGAAAGAAGAGTGCA